GGGGGGGGGGGGCTATCGTGTGGTAGTTTGTTTTTGTTTCACCTCGAACCCGTATTGTAGGATGTTGTTATCGGGGGGCGGTTTTAGTCTGTCCTGACGGGCATCGGGAGAGAGAAAGAGAGAGAGGGTGGGGATGGGGGGCGCGTGTGGCGTGCCATCCTCGTGGACAGGCACCTGTTTTTGCCTAACTTTCATCGGCGTCTCTTCTCTCATATGAAGGCTGTCGAGCAACAGAATACAGTAGTAGTAACTGTATTTTTCGTCAAAGTTTAGCTTTGCACATTGGATTTCTCCGTCACGCGCGGAATCGAATGCCACCCTTCCTCGACGGCGTTCCTCCTCCAAGTTTCTCTCACGCGCAGGTGCTGCTCCCAGGGCACTTCCCTTCCACCCCCCCCCCCAACCCGCGGGGGTCCTTAGCTCCGATAAGCCCTCCACGCAATACGCCCATAATGACACGTGTCTTGGCGCATGCTAATGAGCACAATCTCTGCCTCGCAGCGCGGAGAGGAGAAGGGAGGGGGGGGGGGCTCTCTGACAGAGACAGAAAGGGAAAGGGCGCGGGGCTTTGTGTACGGCGAAATGACAAAGTGTTTCCATCTCTCTATCTCCCTCTCTCTCTCCTCCCTTTCCAAGTCTACTGCTTCGCCTCAAAGTCGGAAATGTCGACCAATAATACGATTTCGTTAGTAACGTGTCAATACCCTCTCGTACTTCCGCACATGCGGTCAGGCGGGCTTCCCGCGCGAGCACAACGTTGACATTGTATTTTACCAGAGTGCTTTACAAAAACGCCAAAATAACGCGTCGGAAAGCGCGCGAAACTTGCGCGAAATTTGAATGTGCTCCACGCCGCTCGCCGCCGCCGAGCCCGCGGGTTCTCACGGCGGCGGCGGTGGTGTTCTCCGAGTGTTTACTTACTTTGCGCTGCTGGCCCACAAAAGTAAGTAACTCACTGGCCGTGCCGCGTTTCGTCTTGCGGCAGCTGATCCTTATCTCTCGCGGGTCCCCCCCCCCCGGGGAAGGAAGGAGGCCCCCGCACGTTCGCGTAGTGCACCGCAGAGGGCAGCGAGGGGGTTGCTGCGCGGGGGGGACCCCGTGCGGGGCGCACGGGGCGGCGCACCCAGAGGCCCGCCCGGCACACTTTACTGCCCCACGTGAGCAACATGTTAATTATCGGAGGCACGCTGCTGCTCCCCCCGGAGCACAACCCTCTCTCTCCGTATTAACAGTTATTTGGTTCGCCCGCGCCGCCCCGGAAGATATATACAAAACTACACGCACGCCGTGACACCACCACACAGTTCTGTGCATGTTTTTAAATTTAATTAGAAATTTCAACGCGTGTGTGTGTGTGGCACTAATAAGTTGGAAATACCAGGTGGCTACGCCGCGCACTTTCGTGGTTGTACTGTACCGCATGCACGCGTGCGGGCGGGTTGCCTACTCGCACGGGGCCAGGAGGATCCGTGGGCAGCGAGCATAGGCGAACCCACCCGCACTTCTTGTGCATCCGGTACAGTATAACTACGAAAGTGCACGGCGTGAATCAGCCACCTGGTATACTTTGAAGATGTGGGTGGTGTGGCGCGCCCGCGGGTTTTCCCTCAAAGTTGAAAGGCACTCTTACTTTTGAATGTTCAGGCCGAGGTTCAGGCCTGTGTCAGTACTGCAAGATCAGCTCTCATTTTCTTGGCCGTCGTTGTGTTTTACCTCTAGTTGACCATCAACAAATCTGCTGTTTCAAACCACACCCATGGGTATTACTTCATTTTATGTTTTGAAATTTGTGAGTCCGGGTTGAACGCGGTGGCAGGCGCTCCGCCAGCGCCATCTGTGGGTGGACCAGCGCGGCGAACAGCAGAGGAGGCGACAGTCTGGAGGACTCCGGGTCCTGGCGCTACCCCAGCGCACAGAGACGCTAGCGTGTCCCTCCCTCCTCGCCGCGCGGGGTATGTCGAAACTCGTATCGATACAAAGCAACGCCGCCCCCATCGAGTGCCGAGTCTTTATGTGAACTGATGAACTCTTTACTTTTCACTTATTAGCCAACGAGGCACCTCAGCAGCTGTCTGACAATCAACAACGGAAAACTTATGGCATCATCATTCTGTTCGTATTAATAGTCAACTCTCGCCCATCATTTTTACTGTTTTATTTTTTTACGACAATATAATACGCAACAACGTCCAGCGGCGCGGGTGTGGGGAGGGTCGGGGTTGGTACTGCCGGCGCCGGCTCAGTAATGGCCCCCATGACCCAGGCTGAGCAGCGCGGGGGCCGCGATCACCTTCTGCACCACCTGACGGAGAGACGGAAAATGCAGAAACCGAGCGTTAGTCATTTAGGCAAGTAAGTCAATCTGACTCCCTCTGCAGCCGAGAAAGTACAGATGGGGTATGAAAACTCTATCCTTGCACGGCCGAGGACTAGCGTTGTGAGAGAGGGAGAAGTCCCTGATACGCTATTCTCACTCTCTCACACAGCTGCACGACGACACTCTTTACCTGCGGGTGGACGGCGTGGCCGGAGTTGGTGACGACGGCGTTGAAGCCGTTGTGGTCGTCGGCGGTGTAGTGCACGGTGCGGGTGGTGCCGTCGGGCTGCAGCAGCGAGTACTCGCCCTTGACCACGTCGCCGTCGCGCTCCTCGGCCGCGCTCTTCACGTCGCCCGTGTGCGAGTCGTGGACGCCGTACTTGAAGGCGTAGCGGGGGTGCGCCTGCCGAGGAGTAACGAGAAACACGCGGACGCAGCGCGTTAAAGAAAACTGCACTTTACGAACATAGCTGCGAGGCGGGGTGACTTACGATGGGCTCCGCCTTGATGATGGGCGCGTGTGCGATGGCGATGGGGGCGTGCGCCACGGCCAGGGCGGGCGCCGGCGCGAGGGCGATGCCGTGTCCGAGGCCGAGGCCGTGGCTGAGGCCGAGGCCCAGGGGGGCGTGGCCCACGGACACGTACGACGAGCCCAAGTCCACGGGCACGGCCCTCGCGGACGCGACCAGCGCAAGTCCACACAGCACCTGCAGCAGGTCCAGAGTCTTCAGTATCACAAAAACTAACAAATTATCACACTCCACGGAGTTAACATTTCAACACAATTTCCGAAACACGTCTATCCCCACAGCCGTGTTCCAAAGCTAACAAAACTAGGCTCTACCCCAACAAACTTCGAGTTTCTGCAAACCTCCCATAAAAAATACAAATAAAATCTGTGCTCACCTGGAGGAACGCCATGTCTGAGTGATCCAAGTCCCCCGGGCCTCGAACAGCGCCTCTCTGCGGCGTGTCGGAGTGTCGTCTGGCCGGCGGCGTGTCCGTCCACTTGTTCTTATAGGCCCCCCGCGTCCCCGCCCCCCTCGTATCCCCTCGGCCGCGGGGGTCACTATGGGCGTCGCGGCGCCCTCCCCCTCCCCCCGGGGGACCGTATGACACTCCAGCTGGACTCCGCGGGCAGCTGGACTGCGCAGTAATGACCAGTCTGGTCTGACTGGGGATGTTTCGTGCGAGACTGCACTGCAG